CAACTCTGCCACCGAGATAGGACAACGATCAAAGTTCTTCATGCTAGGAGCATTACATGGACTTGCTGATCAATATTCACATATTCGTGATCAGATTTTGGGTTCTCCGGTTGTCCCCACCTTGACATCGACATGCTCCACTCTTTTGCATATACCAGTAAAACCCAACCCTGACACACCTGCTTCTGTTAATGATTCTTCTGCATTTGTATCTCACAGTGATGATCGAACTCGCCCTCGCAAACAGGGAAAAGGGCATCCTAAGTGTGAACATTGTGGCAAGCTAGGTCACAAGATTGACCAGTGTTATGCATTACATGAGTGTGAATATTGTGACAAACTAGGTCACAAGATTGACAAGTGTTATGCATTACATGGTCGTCCTACTCTATCTACTACAGTTGCTCAGACTGATTTTTCCCCACCTTTATCTGCTAAGGATCCTCCTTCTTCTATTTCATCAGACACACCTGCTATGTTCAATAAATTTCTCAAATGGTATAAGGATCAACAGTCTTCTAGTTCCACTGTGTCTGTCGCACACATAGGTACATCTTTTGCTGGTCTGACCCAATCTTCTTCTGGTCCTTGGGTTTTTGATTCAGGAGCCACTGATCATATTACTGGTAACAAATCTTTGTTCTCCTCTTTATCCTTTCCTGATATTTTACCTTTTGTTACACTAGCTGATGGCTCTAGAGTATCATCTCATGGTGTTGGAACTGTTAAACTTTTCCCTTCTTTAACCATTGATAATGTTCTTTATGTCCCTGGGTCTCCTTTTAACCTGTTATCCATCAGTCGTCTAACTCGTTCTCTTGATTGTGTTGTTTCTTTTACCAACAATTCTGTGTGTTTACAGGACCGGAGTTCGAAACAGGTGATTGACACAGGATGTGAGTCTCATGGTCTTTATCATCTTCGTCCCTTTACACATGTTGGTGTAGTTATAGAGTCTCCCTCTCTTCTTCATGCTCACTTAGGTCATCCAAGTCTTGCCAAGTTACAACAACTTGTCCCTGTCTTATCTAAATTGTCTAGTTTGGCATGTGAGTCGTGTCAATTAGGCAAGCATAGTCGTACTTCCTTTCCTCGTAGTGTCACATGTGGTGCTTCTTCCCCTTTTGCCGTGGTTTACTCTGACATTTGGGGACCTAGCCGCGTTAAGTCTACTTTAGGTTTTCAATACTTTGTTACTTTCATTGATGATTATTCCAGATGCACTTGGTTATTTTTTATGAAAAATTGTTCTGAATTATTTCATATCTTTCAAACTTTTTTCAATGAAATTCAAACTCAGTTCGGTGTTTCTATTAGAGTTTTGCGCAGTGATAATGGTCGTGAATATCTTTCTCATTCTTTTAAATAATTCATGGCTTCTCATGGTATTTTGCATCAAAATTCTTGTGCTTATACACCTCAACAAAATGGTGTAGCTGAACGTAAAAATAGACATCTTATTGAAACAACTCGCACTCTTTTAATTCATGGAAAGGTTCCTTAGCATTTTTGGGGTGATGCTCTTCTTACTGCATGTTATCTTGTTAATCGCATGCCATCTTCGGTTCTAGATAATAAAATACCTCATTCCATTTTATTCCCTCATGAACCACTTCATCCCTTACCTCTAAAAGTTTTCGGGTCTACATGTTTTGTTCATAATTTTAGTTCTAGTCTTGACAAGCTTTCTCCTAGATCACATAAATGTGTTTTCTTAGGGTTTACAAGATCACAAAAAGGATACAAATATTTTTCTCCTTCTCTTAACCGTTATTTTGTGTCTGCAAATGTCACCTTTGATGAGTTCTCTTTTTATTTTAAAAGTCAATCTTCACCTCTGTCTCCATCAAATCTTGTCAACACTCCTAGTACATTTAATGTTCCTGTTGTTTGTGACCCTCTAACCGTGTCTTCTTCACCATTAGATTCTACTCTGCAGTCAGCTTCTTCTTCACTGCCTCTTCAGGTTTATAGTTGCTGAAACCAATCACAACCACCACCATGTGACTCTACTCAAGTGTCAACTACTCTGTCTCCTCCAGATGTGACACCTGAGTCTGACCTTCCCATTGCCCTCCGAAATCCGTTCTACACGTAATCTCTCTCCTCATTATATTGGTTTGAGTTATCATCGACTGTCATTACCTTTTTATACATGTATTTCCTGTCTTTCTTCTGTGACCATTCCAAAAATTGTCCGTGAAGCTTTAGCCCATCCTGGTTGGCGTCAGGCCATGTTAGATGAACTAAGTGTTCTTCATAATAGTGGAACTTGGGAATTGGTCTCGTTACCGTCTGGGAAATCTGTTGTTGGTTGCAGGTGGGTGTTTGCTATCAAAGTTGGACCTGATGGTATTATTGATCGCCTCAAAGCTCGTCTTGTGGCCAAAGGTTATACTCAAATTTTTGGGTTGGATTATGGATATACCTTTTCCCCTGTGGCAAAGATGACTTCTGTTGGTTTATTTATCGCCATGGACGCTCTTCAACAATGGCCTCTTTATCAACTAGATGTTAAAAATGCTTTCCTCAATGGTGATTTGCAAGAAGAAATCTATATGGAGCAACCTCTTGGGTTTGTTGCTCAGAGGGAGTCTTCTGGGATGGTATGTCGTCTTCGCAAATCCCTATATGGCCTAAAACAGTCTCCTAGGGCCTGGTTTGGAAAGTTTAGCAAGGTTGTTCAACAATTTGGTATGACTCGGTGTGAAGCAGATCACTCTGTCTTTTATCGACACTCAAGTGCTGGATGTGTTTACTTGATAGTATATGTTGATGACATCGTTCTTACAGGTAGTGACAACCATGACATCTCTCAGTTGAAACAACAGCTCTGATATCATGTTGAATATAGAAGAAATAGAGTTTGAGATTAATCTCCCTTGTGTATAAATCACACATAGGGTAGTCTATTTATAGTAGAGAGATACAACTAAAAGAGAAATTGAAAGTAACAGAATAAACAGAAGATATTGTTTGATATTATGGTTAATATCTAACAAATATCTTAACAATATTAAATAATATCTAAATAATATCTAACAGATATATTGACTGTTCTGTAGGAACTTATTTGTGTATTTCAATTCAACTCTCTTATACTTATACTTTGATCTTAGTGGAGCTTGTTTAAGTGGCTTGTACCCGTAGATTTTTACTTCCCATACTAAAAAGGTTTTCCCACGTTAAAAATATTCATGTTCTCTACTGTGATTATTTTTGTCATTATTTGTTGTTGTTGCTCCTCTCAATTTCTTGCAAGTTTAGAAAAAATATTTCACTATATATTTTGGTATTTTAGGTTGTTATATGGTTTTTCTTATCAAATTGGGGTCTGAGAGATTGGTCATGCCAATCTCAATTTTTGTTACGAGATAATTTTAATTTTATAAAAAAAATTATTAGAATAAATTAAATAAAAAGATAATTAAGAATTCTTTAGATATTTTGATATTAATGATATTTTGGATGATTATTATTTAATTATGAAAGTTTTTATTTCCTAAAATAAGATTAAAAATTTATGACAATATATAAATAGAACATTATATTTCTCTTTTAAGTATGAAAAAAAAATTAATAAAAAATAACTTTTCAAGATTGTTTGTTATCACATATAATATAACCTTGTAGGAGTATTGTGTGTCTATTCCCTGCACTGCCTAGAACAAAGGAGACTTCAAACCCATCACTATGGGTTAGGCTAATTGAAGAAAAATATGGGTGTATTATGCAAAACATTGACCAGTGGAGAAGTGGATCACATGGTGGCAGTATATGTGTAATATTTCTATCTTTGAAGGCGATGGTAGTTGGGGTAAGGATCCTGCTAACATTATTGGAGGAGATGGTTCATTCTTTAAATTTTGGAAAAAGAAATGCTTTGGGTTGATTGTTTGAAAAATCTATTTCCAAGGCTGTTTAACATTTATTTGCAAAAAAGATTGCACTGATATCAGAAGTTGATTCCTGGAATTATGGAAATTAGAATTGGAGATTCGAATGGAGAAGACCATCATTGGCTTGGCTTGGGAGGAGGAGAGGGTTCTTGGTTTTGAATTATTGTTACAAGGGTTGCAATTAAAATGTGGAGTTTCTTACCGGATTACTTGGTAAGAGAGGCTTATATGCTGACTGTTTAAATCCAAGATTAGTTAGTATTATTTGGAAAGCAAAGACTACCTACAAAATCATTGCCTTTACATCGAAGGTGGTGCTAAATATGCTAAAAACCAAAGAAGAATTGCTTAAAAAAGAGAAAATAGATTGGTTAAACATCTGTTTAGTGCAGGAGTATTTGGCAAAGTTATTAATACTCATGGTTAAGATACAATGTTGTGATCTTTAACAGTGTGTATATTTCAATATTGATAAGATTAGGAATGCTGTTATCTTTCGATCTTGGTGTTATATTAAAGTTCATAATGAACAAGCATTCTTCTAGTTATGCAGATTACATGCCATTGCTCGTAATATTGTTTTGCTTTTTGTAGTCATGTACCCACCTGACAGTAGCTTTATCATGTCATGACAGTAGTTCAATATTTTCCCTTGGTGGTGTTTGTGTACGGAATACAATTTATAAACTTGGTAAAATACTAAAGACGCGGCTGCATCATCTTGGAAACTAATAAAAAATTACCTTAATAAATTTGGTTGGGAGAGCAAAATCAATACTCTATTCGTTTTGCTCACACTGTTATCAGGCTGAGATCCCACACATGCTTTTCCTTGATAAATTAAAATTTCTGTCATTTATGGGTTTGAACCTTTAACAGTAGGGGATAGAAAACTGAAATAGTGTTGATTGTATTCATCACATCATGATTATATCACAAAGCCACAAACTAATTGCAAAAAAGAGCAAATTCAGATCGAAGATTAATTCGCTCATTAAACAGAGACTAAAATCCCCTTCATCGATTACACAACATTAATCTTTGTTTATGTTTGAAAATCGAAGGCACGTTGACTTATTTCATTGTGAGGGTTCAACAGACTCATGCAACATTAACCTGAATAGTCCTCGGCTTCTTAGGTTCAGGAGGTGGCAATTTTTGCACACTAACACTAAGCACACCATCTTGACACACAGCAGATATTGCATCTGTGTGTGTATTTTCAGGTAACACAAACTTGCGCATAAATCTCCCAACCCTTCTCTCCATTCTTAGATACTTTGCCCCTTCTTTCTCTACTTCCCTCTTTCTCTCCCCACTAATCACAAGCATGTTATCATCTTCCACCTGAACCTTTATGTCCCCACAGTTCAAACCCGGCATGTCGATCTCGAACACGTAGGAATCGGGATATTCCTTCACAACCGCAGGTGTCACAGCCATAGCTTTCGCATCCCGCACATATGATCGTGTAGGAGCATTGTGTGTCTTGTCCCTGCACCGTCCTCCAATATATCCATGATGTCGTGCAGCATGTGGAACAAGGGAGACTCCAACCCCATCATCCTCAAATTCATAACTTTTCCAAATAGCAAAAAAAATAAAAAAGTGCTTACAAAGCGAATTTGTTTGTTTTAGAGATTCTCTTTTGTGATGTTTCATGGAGGAAGAGGGTGGGTGGATATTTAAACTGGGGGGTGAACATTATTCCAGAAAGGAACGGAAGATTCTGGACAAAGAAACTAATAAGGCGTGTGTAGGAAATAGAAGTTTCTGGAAAAAGTGGAACTTCCAATAGGTTCCATTACGTTGTGCTGTTTGAATTTTAGATCCTTCTACTAATTTCTAGAATCATGTTCTAATGTTAAAATGTAAAAGTTAGACGATTTTTTCTTTTAATTTCTGGAATTTTATAATTTATTATATTTCTTAATTTATGATTTAACAGTTCTGACAATTTGTTTTTTCTTTTTAGACTTTGACCGATTTTTTTAACCAAGTTTTTGAATAGAACTTGGACATTAAAAATAACATATTTGTGTTCTTCTGTGTGTGATAAACATTCCTAATAATAAATGGTTTTATTTACACAAAATAATATTACAACCTTCAAGAATTTTAATTGCATTTATAAAAATAGGAATTGTGTTCAAACTTGTCTGAATCCCTTCTCATGTTTACATTCTTGAAGACTGCATAAATTTGTTTTGGTAGGAAGCCTGGCAGAAGCTTAGTTTTGGTAATATTGTTTATCAGACAATACACAAAACATGATGCTTTTAGCAAAAGGGTTGGAATAGCAAATGGAGTATGTGATTCAAGGGGTGTTTCAAAATCTCTCCAAATATTCTATTGTTTTATGACAGGCTTATATTATAGCCATTAAAATACAGATTTTATTTTGAAAACATTATTGTTTATAGATATTTTAAAAGTGTGCTCTGGGAGTAAAATATAAATACAAGAACGCATTTAACCAGAGTTGTGAAAAAAAAAGAGATAAAGGAATAAAAATTAGACTGCAAAAGAAAAGATGATTAAGCCAAGATCATCACTGGTATTACAAAACAACAAATCACATTAAAAACGAAATTACAGCAAACCAAACAACTCTTTAACGGCTGATAGGCAAAACCCCTAAATAGTTCAACCAACTTTTATTTGAATAGTTCTTCAATCTCAAGCAACCTTGACCTGAATAGTCTTCGGCTTCTTAGGTTCAGGAGGAGGCAATTTATGCACGGTAACACTAAGAACCCCATCTTGACACACCGCAGAAATTGCATCAGTGTTTGTATTTTCTGGTAACACAAATTTGCGCATGAATTTACCAACCCTTCTTTCCATTCTGAGATATTTTCCTCCTTCTTTCTCTTCTTCCCTCTTCCTCTCCCCACTAATCACAAGAACGTTGTCATCTTCTATCTGAACCTTTATGTCACCTGATTTCAAACCTGGCATATCGATCTCGAACACATAGGAATTAGGATATTCCTTCACATCCGCAGGTGTTGCAGCCATGGCATTCGCGTCTCGCACGTATGACCGTGTCGGAGCATTGTGTGTCTTGTCCCCTGCACCATCCTCCGACATGTCCATCATGCGGTGCAGCGTGTGGAACAAGGGAGACTCTAAACCCATCACTCTGAAATCCATCACTTTCTGAATGTGGAAAATATAAAAATTGCCCGAGAATTCGATTATTTCCTAAACTTTATTCTGTGCTGAAATGTGAGGTTTGGAAATGGTTATTTATAAGGGGGGCATAGATTATTCGAGAAAGAAATAGAAGCTTCTGGGCAAAATAAAAGGGTGCTGCTAATCTTTCTTGTGTTTTCCAGTAGGTTCGTTTCCTTCTACAAAGTTCTAGAATTTAGTGGCACTAACGTAATAAAAAAGTTTGACAAATTAGTAATTTAAATAGATTCCGACACAACCTGCCATTAAAATAATAATTTCTTATCATAAAAATAATCTCATATTTAAACTTAAAAAAAAAATTATGTAAGTTGGATCTATTATTATTATATTGGATATCATTTTCATAACGTTGAATAAAAGGTAAAATATTGTTGAAAGTATTAAATCATATCATAAGTTCGAGAATAGTTTAAATTACTAATTCTGAATCAGATTAATATTTATTTCTCAGGATCTAAAATCGCAAATCTCTTTATTTCTGTATTTTTATTAATTTATTGCGCTTATAAATTTTACGAAATCGATAACCTAAAAGGCATGCCACCAATGGTCCATGTTGACACAAAGCATGGTGTAGGTGATATAGGCATGTATGGTGACACGTGTAGGGTTTCATTAAAAATATAATTAAATTATAGTATATGAATTGATATTTCTTTATTTTTAAAAAGTCTATTATATCGGTATTACTTACTCTATGATAATAATGAAGTCATATAGTAAAAATAAGCAAAATTCGTTTTGTCTAAAACTAATAAGAAACTCAAGTAATTAGAAGAAATTACAATTTAATGTTTATCACTCAACAGACAATACTTTACAACAATTTAACATTTCCTTGAGAATAATCATGTTTATAGACAACGATTATTTTTTTACAAAGTTATATAAATATAAGAGAATAAAGAAAAAAATGTTTTAATTTTAATTCTTCATTACACATCTTTCATATTTATGCAAGCTCAGTGAACTTATCATTGAATTCTTCCTGCGATAAATTAAAACTGAGTGTTAGAGAAAATCAAATATTATTAACACTATCCTAACTTTAATGTGTTCTAATTCATGTATCTTAAGTTTGAAAATGCTTTTTAAGTGTTTAGAGAAAAAAAAAAAAATACTCATCTTATAAGTCAATGCAAAAAATACTCGTATCGTTACGTACCTACTGGTACGAATTTGATATAATCTCACATTTATATAGACCATTTTAAATTCATTTCTTTTATTTTATTATCTATCTTTCAATTAATTATGTTTAAAAAAAAGGTGATAGTCAACCTAAATCAGAATTCAACCTCTTTTTTATTTTATTATTTTACATTTAATATATTTTATTTAGATTAAAAACTTGGAAATTGCTTTTTTATTTTGTCATATAAGGACGATTTTTTTAAGTAAATATTTTTTTTTTTACTTTGAATATATATATATATATAACAGGATTTAACTATATTTGTTTTCCTTGATAAAGCATGTTTTTATTATTATTCTTACATAAATAAAAATATCATATTCTTAACCTTTAAATAAGATATTAGCAATACAAATAAATAATTTTTCTATTATCTTTTATTATTATTATTTAAATACTTTATATTCTATTACTTATTTAAAATGTTTATTTCACTCTTCCCTAATTATACTTTAATATATTAATATACTTTAATATATTAAAATACTAATATTGATAAGTAGAAGTATGAAAATAGGAATAACCTAATAAATAGTTATGAACAATTTAAAAAATATGTAAGATTAAGTTAAAAAAATTATAACCTAAATTAAATCAAACATAACTTAACTCATTTAAATCATAATATAATATATATATATATATATATATATATATATATATATATATATATATTATATAAACTTATGCACTAGTCATTTTATAACAAATTTAATATTTTTAAATAAAATAAAAATAATATTATTCTATTAAAAAATATATAAATATTATAAATTAAATTAATAAAAATATTTATTTATTTTAAAAGTGAATATAAGAATAAATATGTAATATTGATCTAATTGTTTGAATGAATTAATAAGGTAAATAAATCATAATAAATAATGATAATAAAAAATAAGTTTTTTAATTATTATTTTAAAATCGAATACATATATTTTCTTATAATTTATATATTAGATTTTATATATAAATAAAAATTAAATTTATTAATATTATTTCAATTTTAAAATATTTTTTATTTAAAATTTTTATTTATACATATTTAATTAATAATTTTAATATAAATATTTTAATAATTTTTTCAAATTTTTAATCAAGACAAAATTGATTTAACATAAGATGAAACTAAAAAAATATAATTTATTTAAAAATATAAGTCAAACTAGATTATTAATCATTTGTCTCATAAACCAAAAGGAGACACAATTGAAACCCATGTTTTGACAACTAAAGTTATCAAAATGAATTACTTAATCAAAAAAAGAAACAATTGAAACCCATGTTTTGACAACTAAAGTTACCAAAACTAATTACTTAATCTAATTTAACTTGGTTCTATATAAGCCGTGTAAAAAATTTTAATGATCCAACTTAACATTTTTTTAAAATGAATTAAAAATTTTAACCTAATTTGGTCTTAAGTCAACGAGCCAATTTTTGCTAGTTGAATTTAAAAAATATATTAATATATTTATACCAAATTAATTAATTAAAAAATATCTAATAATAATAAAAGATAACAAATTATTTTAAATTTTATTAATAAAATTAAATTTTGTTTAATAAAATATATATCCATTCAATCTAAAATAAGAATTAAAAACTTCTTCATTATCATTATTATTTTTGGGTAATTTATTAATTTAAAATAATAATTAATTTTTATCATTAAATCTAAAAATAAAAAATTATTAAAGTTTTTTAGTCTAATATTTACTTTTAAAATAAGTAAATTTTTTTCAATTTAATTTATAATATATATTTATATATATTAATAAAATAATATTATTTTTATTATTATTTAAAAAATAATTATTATTTTATAAAATAAGTTGATACTTAAGCATTAGTGAACTAATGTAATCTAACTTCATACAGACTATACCAAAATATATCTAATTCAATTTATATCGTAAATTTTTTTTTACTTAATCTAACGTATTTTAAAAATCTTTCGTAATAATATATTAAATTAAGTCTATTTTAACACTCGTATTAATTATCTTTGAATAAATGAAAAATTTGTTGATTATTATTATTTATATGAGTTACATTGTATAATTTATCTCCATTTTTTTATTATATTTTAAATTTGAATAAAGATATCATTAAATATAAGATCAGTAGGATTACACAACATAAAAATATTTAAAATAAAATAAATATAACTAAAATGATATATCTATAAATATTATAACAGTTTAAAATCAATTGCAAATTAAAACATAAACTCTCGAAACAATTTTACTAAAAAATATATTTATAAAAAAATATATAAAGATATTAATTTTTTATCTTTTATATTTATATTTTAATTTAATTGATAATTTTATCAAATAGGAACGTCAAAGTAGAGTGTTCGATTCAGTTTTATAGATCACATAATAAAAATTTATAAGTTTATCTAACCTCTATTTTAAAATTTATCATAATATTTGATGGAATTTAAATTTGTTATATGAAAAAAATTATTAATTTATTTATATCATAATAAAATAATAAAAAATATTTAAATAAAAAATATTTTTATAATTTAAATTATATTAATAAAATTTAATTTATATTTTAAATATAATAATTTAATATATAAATTATAAAGAATTGATTTATTCCATTCTAAACTAAGAATGAAAATATTCTTATATTTATTTTTAGAATAAATAATTTTTTATTAAATTAATTTATAATATATATTATATACATATATTATTTTTATTTTTATTTAAAAAGTTTAGTTATATGTAGTCTGTGGCCTACAAATCAGATAAAATGCATGTAATTCAATTTAAATTACAAGGACTGGAGTATCTTGATAAGCCTATTTTTGACATCCTAATTCTTACTGAGAAATGGTCTGGGATTGATTATTTGAAAAATTTATTTCCATGTCTCTTTAACATTTCTTTGCAAAAAATCGTACTTGTATCGGAAGTTGATTCCCAAATAATGGAAATTGGAAGTGGATGTTTGAATGGAGAAGAGCATTATTGGCTTGGGAAGAGGAGGAAACTGTGCTTTTGAATCATTGTTACAAGGCAACTCAACACCATAATACATGGTAAGGGACGCTTATAACGTGATACACGGTCATGTTGATTGTTTAGATCCAAAGTCATTTAGTACACATTTAGAAAGCAAAGACTCCCTCCAAATTTATGGCCTTGATGGAAGGTGGTGCTGAATAAGTTCTAATCCAAAGAAGAATTGCTTAAAAGCAATATTATTATAACAGAAGGAAATAGTTACTGCTCTCAGTGCTGAACAGAAACTAAATTTATTAAACGTATTTTGTTTGACAGAGTTGTTAATCATGGTTGGACAGAAGCAAGCTCTTCTTAAACATTATTTTAATCACTTCTAGCAGCATATTGATGCAACTATTAGTAAGAAGCCTAAGAAAACTTAGATGATTGGCTATCTACATGATTAGATGTGATCTTTAATATTGATAAGATTAGGAATGATATTGTCCTGAGAGGTTGATTTTGTATTAAATTGTAATTTGCTCTTTTTTATTCATGTGCCTGTTCATAGTAGTTCTGTTTTTATTTTCATCTTGTTGGTGTATTTATAATTGTAGACCACAAATTTTGTCCGATCTTACAACAAAATTTAAAAATCTTCCATTTTGAAGATAGATAAGGCTTTATCAGATCCCTAGAAATATTTATTAGGCTCCATGTAAGAAGATGAGAGTTTTTCTTAGAAAAAATAAAAAATAAAAAATACAAATTTTTGTCAGAAAATTCGGGACGACCGTCCCACCTGATTCATAGGCTCGAGACGCCTGTCCCTACCTCCTTAGTAGTCTGGGACGCCCATCCCAAAATTCAGACGGCTGTCCCGAGACGCTTTTTCTATCGAGACGGTCGTCCTGCCTGACAAAATTTGGGACGACCGTACCGATCTCTTTGGTGAGTGTGCCTATAAATAGGACGTCAGACCTCACTGTTTCACATACCTCTAGACACCTCTTCACCCCTGGGCATTCTTCCAGACTCTGAGTGATCATTCCGATTGTCCATTTGGGCAAAAAATTGGTTAAGGAAGTCTCATTTGAGACATCCGACTCTCAACAGTTTAAATTTTTATTTGTTCGAGGGAGGAGTACTCGTGTAGTGCGAGGGGATTGCCAAAAATTGTCATCAAGTTTAAAGATTTATAAAAGCTCGTTTCGAAGGTTCTTCTCAAACCCTTAATCTTTTATCGCTTTCCTTCGTGTGCATTAGAAATTAAGGTCATGTAGACATTTAGATAAATATTGCAAATAAATAAATAAAAAGGGTAAAAACGTAATTTCAAAAAATCTTTATTTTATGAATTAATCTATCGTGGTTTAGTTCGATCTTATTTAACCTAATCTAGTCTAACCAAATATGATTCAACCTAATCAATTCACCTGACCCTCTTAACACAACCGCACATGACTTAACTCCATATTTTTAGTCTAACCCTACTTAATACATCCAAAATAAGACTTAATGCAACCCAATCTAATTCAACTTGACTTACATGAAATTAAACATAATTTAACTTGATTTAATTTAACGTGACTTGACCCAATTTCACCTAACTTGATTTTACTAATTCAACTTGACCCAATTGAACTCAGTTTGAACTATCTCAATTAAACCTACTCTAATTAACCCAACATGAATTTTGAATTTTAAAAATACAATTCATATCTTATCCAGTCAAATTAATTAAATTAGATTTTAATTTTAAAATATGGATTTGAATTTGAGGTGAATCCATTTAAAATAAACTTATAGAATGATTTAGATTTGTATTCAAAATTGATTGAATTTTGCTATTTAGATTTTTTGTCCACGTATTAACACCTCTATTACTAGAATTCCATGAAAATTCGATCAAAACTTTTCCAAGATAATGAATGTATCTCATTATGCATGATTCATATGAAGTACTCATTATATTACCACCAATGATTAAGTTTTCATTCATCTTATAACATTTTAAATCTTATTTACGAAGATTATACCATTTATATCTTATATTGATACAAATCAAACATTTCATATTAACCATATAAATATACAAATATCATATTTGAAGTCAACTAAATCATAATAAAGAAATACATATATATAATATTCATATATTAAATTATAAAAGTATTTTTACAATAGATCAATAATATATTTGGTCATATTATTATATTTAAAAGCCTGAATTGATATCTTAATATCTGAAAAATTGTCTAAAAAGTATTTATAAATGATTGACAATAGTAAATCATAATTTATTGTAATTTTTGGCTAATTTAGTATTTAATAATATATAGTTAGTTTATAAGTTACGTACTAATTAAAAAAAATTTATTTGTGTCTAAAAAGAAAATTTTATTTTAATATAATAGATAAAAAAAAATACCTACTATAGATTATTTTTATAATAAATATTATATTATTTTTAATTTTAATTAAATTTGCTAATATGGTAGTGAAAATTACTATTACTTTTTTTTATCTTTGATTTAGATTTTGTTATTAGAATTTATTTTTTTAATTGGTACGTGAAACAAATTTTTTTATATACTCTATAATTAATTATTTAAATATTTTAAAATTTATTTTTAAATAGTTTTTGTCTTTTGTGGCTAATAATTATAACAGTATTTGAAGTTAAAGATCTCTACAATCACTATTTAACAATGTATAATTATTATCTAAAATATATTTGATTACGTGTTATACATAATCATTATGTCTTCTTGTTAATTAATTATGCATCCATTTACACTATTTTTGTTTTCTAAAATATTTTATAATCCTTTCAACCTAATGAAAATATTTTTCTTAAATTTACGTACATAAACAAATAAAATGGATTGTGTTTAGTATAAAATATGAAAATTAAAAAGAAAAAATATATATTGATAGACTTTTGAATTAGAATGACAAAACAAAATAGGTTCATTGTACAAGTTAACCATGAATCTATTTTGATCAAAAAGATGAAACGGAGTTGACTAACTCGGTTAAACAAAAATTATATATTAAAAAATTATAATATAAAATATTATATTTTTTTATTTTGTGTTATTGAAATTTATAAATATATTATAATATTATAGTTTAAATTATAATAATAATCAATTAAATTTAAATTATTGATTATAATTAATTATTTTAATATAAATATAATAATTTTTTAATAAAAATATTAATTAATAAAATTTTAAAAATTATTCAAATAATTTTATATATATATAAATTCATATAAAAAAATATTATTAACAAAAGCTAGCTGATATTTAAATAATATTCATTCACTCAATGCTAACAACTACTACCTTGACCCAACCCAAGGATTTAAAAATCCATGCCCCTATGATTGATTCACTTTTCTCCCGTCTTGCATCCACTGCTCTATATTTCATAGTTCATAAATAGATATGTAACATAGAGGAAGGAGGAATGTGTTGTATGTAAATGCAATGGTATATGTAAAAATGAGTGGTAGCACTGGATCCACCCCAAAAACATGAACGAGGAAGCCGAAGACACCAAAGCCAGAAAACCCAAACCCAGTTGCTTTTCCCATCTCACCACTGCTTCGCAGACACTCTTCTCCGCCATGGCGCGAAAACCCCTTCTCAAGCAAACCCTAGCCACGCTCTTCCTCCTATTCGTCCTCTACTCGATCTTCAACGCCTTCTTCCACCCCACCGATTCCTCCGCCTTCGACTCCACCTTCTCCTTCAACTCCGCCTCCTCCGTCCTCCTCGCTTCCGGCTACCCCAAATCCCCTGCCATCAAGGTCTTCCTCTACTATCTCCCCCGCAGATTCACCCACGGCGTCATCCGCCACCACGCCCTCGCGCGTGGCGCGCGCATCTCCGATGAACACGATCACGTCTCCTCGCTCAAGTACCCCGGCCACCAGCACATGGCCGAGTGGTACCTCTTCGCGGATCTCTCCCGAACCGATTCCGAACGCGCGGGCTCTCCCGTCTTTCGCGTCTCTGATCCCGAGGAGGCCGATTTCTTCTTCGTGCCTTTCTTCTCGTCGCTGAGTTTGATCGTGAACCCGGTTCGACCGCCCGGTTCGGTCGCCGCCCTGGAGAAACCGGTCTACAGCGACGAGGAGAATCAGGATGCGCTGGTTGAGTGGCTGGAGGAGCAGGAGTATTGGAAGAGGAGCAACGGGAGGGACCACGTGATCGTGGCTTCGGATCCGAATGCCATGTACCGGGTTATCGACCGGATAAAAAATTGTGTGCTGCTTGTCTCCGATTTCGGGCGGTTGCGACCCGACCAGGGATCGCTGGTGAAGGATGTCGTTGTGCCCTACTCGCACCGTATCAAAACGTACGCTGGTGATGTCGGTGTCGCCGATCGCAAAACCTTGTTGTTTTTCATGGGCAATCGGTATCGCAAAGAGGTATTGTCTTCTGTTCTATGTGGGACTTTGGATTTCGATTTTAAGATGATGAATTGTTTATGTATAATTTAATATTTTATAGCTCTACCCAAGGTTTTGAATTTCTTATGATCCATGACATTGGGGGACATTGTGAAAAAAATGCTGTTGATGCGGCAATGTTGCATAGAACCTAAATATCTTGCCAGCCAAAATTGTGGTTGTGGACCATTTTTTTAAATCCTTTGTTCTACCTGGAATGGGAAACATTAATTTAGCTTGTGCATTTAGCACCAATGTTGGAATGAACGTGCTGCTGGACGGCAAATGCATTTTGATCTAGTTGGGAGAGTTCGCGCTATGAAGTTTTGAAAATTTCTTTTAGTTACGAATGTACTTTTAAGCAACCATTTTAAGGATGATTGATCCAATACAATTTTGGTATTTTATTCAGCTAACTACCGAGGACCCTCCTATGTGATGATCATTCGATACATGCCTTTCAATTGCCTTTGTCTCAAGCCTTTTTAGTTTCCTAGGTATTAAATTTTCCTCTATTCTGACTCTGTCCAGAAGCAGACTCCCTTTTGTTGTCAATTGTTGATTTTACAACAGTCTTTAAAAACTAACGGAAGTTAGATTCGCAAGAGGCCAAGTTTTCAAGACGTGACGAACCCAAGGTTTGATGGGAAGTTCGATTCGCAAGAGGCCAAGTTTCCAAGACGTGACGAACCCAAGGTTTGGAATCCCATCAAGAAAGGCGTTTGCAGTTGGTGTCTCAAACAATGCCTTAAATTAGTTTGTCTTTAAAGAAATATGTACCATAGGGAGACCAAAAACAAAAACAAGAAACACAATCTTTAAACTGTATGCATTCTTTGCTTGGGGTAATGTTGTACTTTCTGGTGGTCTTGTATTCTGTGTAGTAACAGTAGCACTAACTATCTACATTAGGTTTTTCCATTGTATTTTCATTTAAATATTCTAGCATCATGCTGTAATAGTGTTGTTTTCCTTGTATGTGCTAAAATAACCAGAACATTACTGTTGATTTGGATGATTTATTCTTGTATTGATTCCTTCTTGTTCAAGTCTGTTTTATAGGGAGGGAAAATCCGTGATATACTCTTTCAAATTCTAGAAAATGAAAAGGATGTCATAATAAAGCATGGAGCTCAATCCAGAGAGAGTCGCAGGGTAGCTTCACAAGGAATGCATACATCAAAGTTTTGTTTACATCCTGCAGGAGATACTCCATCAGCCTGTCGACTGTTTGATGCTATAGTTAGCTTGTGTGTTCCAGTCATTGTCAGTGATAGTATTGAGTTACCTTTTGAAGATGCTATAGACTACAGAAAAATTGTTGTATTTGTAGAAACTACTTCTGCTATAACGCCAGGATATTTGGTGTCAAAATTAAGATCTGTGTCCCCAGAAAGAATCGTAGAATACCAGAAAGAACTAAAGGAGGTGAGTAGTGCTGGTATAATTTATTTTTGCTATGAAGTTTGTGGGTGTTATTACTATTTTCTTTTACTTCACCTGTTGCATTTTTTAATCTCTTGGAAAATATGACAGAATCAGTACGTACAATGATATTTGGTGGACTTTGATTGATATTGCTACTTTATTGCATTCTTTGTTCTTGTTTCTCTCTGATTAATCATTATTTTGTGTATTTATACACTGATTCATCATTATCTTATAGTGATCGGAAGACAAGTTCCTTCTCTGTAGTCTTTTAATTGAAGTAATTAATTATTAATTTTTCATCAGTAAGAGGGGTGCTTATTTGTCATTGTTTATCTGTTATGGTTCTTATACCTTTAATATGCGAAGTTTGCTTAAAGAGCACGCACTCTTTCTTGATTCTATTTTGAAAATTTCCCCTCTTGTTACAACAAGCTTTAATTTATTTTAACTTGTTTCAGGTTAAGCGATACTTCGAATATGAAGATCGCGACGGGACAATTAATGAGATTTGGCGTCAAGTTTCAAAAAAACTACCCTTGATTAAATTGATGATTAACCGTGAGAAAAGACTTTTTGGAAAGGAAACGGTGTGCTCTTGCGTATGTACAAACCAGAGCGCGATTAGTACCCTATAGCACTTGTCCCTCTATCAGGATTGGCATTCCATGAAATCTGTGGGTAAGTTTTGTGAGGACATTCCGAGGTGATGAGGACACATTTGAAAGAGGGATGATGCTAGTTGTAAGTATGGTCTCTCATATTTCGCATATGGGGTGTCTTGACGAAATTTGATAATCTCAGTCTTCTCAACAACTCGTCCCCCGACGTGTAGTGCGTATGAGATATAAGAGAAAGTTACTTGTGTGCTTATCATTATCCATTACAGTAAAAATCCTTCCGGGGGCTTCACTCAAGTACGATAGATATCGCGAGTCTGCGTAGCCTGTCGCCTGCCATATACTACGAGTATACCCAACACATTCTCTTGTAGATTTCATTTAAGTTTAAGCTTACGAAATATCAACATTTTATAATAAAGAAATGGTTGAATATGCACTAATAGTCATAATAATAAATATTTAAAAAAGAAGGAACACTGGACAAGAATTGAAAAGCATAGCCAAACAAAATCAAGTGAAGTCTTCTAGAAAGAATTCTGATCAAAATAAGAACTCTAACACGATAAAGATTGATACTTGAACTTGTAACATAAGTATACGTTAGGTAATCCAAAAAATCAATGAATGTATTTCGGACATTCACAACTAAAACTATTAGGATTAACATAAAAAAAGATCATGACTATCATCTAGAGAAAGATAAAGAAAAGAGTAAATGTAGATATAATACTCTACAACACTTTAACTACCTTAGTATTAATAGCAAGATTTCAACTATCCTAATAGTAATTAATACAATTTGTACATTAATCAGATATTCTCACTAACTCATCCATATATAATTTTGACGGTTGATTTCAAGAAAATATTGTTTATTAAATATGTAGGTAAAGTCTGTATTTCTTTAAATGTCTTTATTCCTCATAAACACATTGTATAATTACTTATACTATTAAAAATAAATGAACAATTATGAATTTGAGATCATGTGTTTTTCTTTCGACCATTATAAACAAAATAAAGGACGAAAACGTGACAAGATGATAGAACTTTTGTGTGCGTGAGATTTCCTAATAGTGATTAGCATCTTCGAATCAACAAGTTAACAAAAGCTTCAGCTATTCAGTTAAGTACAAGAAGCAAGAAACAAGTTCTCAGGAAAACAAATATCCTTCTAATACAATCAATCACTCATCCTCCTCGCATATGTGCACCTAGCTCACCAAACTGATCATCCGCCTCCACTGTATCTTCAGATAGCCGCACAGCATCCAGCTTCTGTTTGAGAATTTCTATGGCATTTAGAACTAATTGAGAAGCTGTAATTGCTCCAGTAGATTCAACTGTGAATATGAAGCTATCCTGCTTTGCAATGATTTCCACAAGCCCAGGCTTCCCCATGGCTTCTGCTTTCTTAATCACCTCATCATCATACGAGTATGCCTCAGAGTCAACCATCATTGCCTAATAAATGCCAAAAACAACACATTTGATTTTCAAAGATGGAAAAGTTCAATGTTTTAGTTCCGACAATGCATAATATTTCAAAGACGAATTCACTACAATAAAACAAATTGAAATTAAAAATGGATATTAACTACTAAGTTTAAGTACAATATCAACATTAGCTAGCTTGACCTTAATATAAAGAATGTTGCCTCTTAATTACTGCACGGGCCTTATCAATGTGTTTACTTTATTCACAAGCAGCATTATGCATTCAAAGCATCAACTTACTAGTGTCAACATTGAACACACAAAGAAAACAGGCATAAGTACCTCTAATTGCACATTGTTCTCTCCACGTTAATCCAAATGGTTGACGAGACAGCATGCAATGCTCAGGTTAAGGGATTAGCATAAACTTGCAAATTTGATCAGACATAACTGGCATGCATATACGATTAATTCCAAAAAGCAATATATTCAAGTGATCAAACAAACTACCATTTAATCACCAAACACAAAAGAAATGCTAGGTAATTTTTTAATTCTACCTAGAATATGGATCAAATAACAACAGTAGAAAGAACATAACCAAATTCATGAGAAAACAAATGAGAAGAACCCAAACCTGTAGTGTTACTGGATCAATGTCAAACACACGTGTAGGACTGCTATCAACCCATTCTCTTTTCTCCTCAAGAGTCAGTGTCTCCATCAAGTCCTCATTTATATGAATCTCTGGTTCATACATGAAAGTGACAGTTGCAGCAGGTGACCACTTGGCATGATCTTTGCCAATCCCCTTCCTAGCTATCGCTCTCAGCCTCAGCTCTTGTCCTCGCCTCAACTTCACAATGATAACCCCTCTGAACCCACACAATTCAAAACGAAGAATACCCATTTAAAAAAAGAAAATACCATCTAGAGAACAAAGAAAACCCATACTACAAAAACAAAAAATTAGTTGAGAATGAAGAAAACACACTTGAAAACCCCAAATACCCGGTTGAATGGAATAAATATCCCATTTAAAAATCTAGGGTTTAAAACAATATAGAAGAAAAGTGTCCACCTGTTCTCGGAAGAATCAGTGGCAGCAGGGTCAGAGAAATCTACAGGGACGACCGAATAGTAGAACTGTAGAGGTCTTTGCTAGAGACATCGAGGGTTTGATCAGTCATACACTTAACCCTAAGGTGAAACTCCACGGAACAGAATTCACACTGACCATCCCCGTCACACGCGTTCGCAGTCACGTAGAAGCGCGTGGACATGGCTCGCTCACTCGTGAGCGGGATGAGGCCGAGTCTGTGCGCTATGAACTCGTCGTTCAGCACCGAAGAATTCACCTCTATCTCCACCAGATCTATTGCAATTGTCGGCACCTCCGCGATCATCACGCGCCGCAGCGCGTTCGCCATACTCGCATCTGTGTCCCGTAGCTCGAACTTAGCGTAATCGTCCTTCAGCTCACGGATTTTCACCCTCGGCATGCGCGCATACGAAGCACCTTCCATCTTCCTCACTCCCCCTCTGCTCTTCCTCTCTCTCAGACAACACCGGAAATTATAAAAACCCTTCTCAAAACCCACGTTTGTTTGTGTTATTGTTGGATTTATTATGGTCGCAGACACATTATAATTATTAATAAATTTTAAATTAATAATACATATTATTAATATGAGAATAATAAACATTATATTTTAATATATATATATAGAGAGAGAGAGAAAGATTGAAGTGTTTATTTTATAAATCACTTCTTATAAGTAGAGTTTTTTTTTTGTTATATTTTATGTATATTATATAAAAACTTAGTTTAAACATAATTTCTAGACTAAGGTGTAAAAGAAATAAAATACTATTAATTTATATTCAATTAAGATTTTCAAATTTAAATTTCATGTTAAAAATTGTAACAAAATTTTGAATTGATTTTTTTTTATCTAATTAAACTAAACATTTTACTTGAAAGAGAAAATTAAAACTATATGATATTTAAGTAATAAAATTATTTATTATTTTTTATATTTTATATTAAATTCAATAAAATTTTCAAAGATATTAAAGTTAAAAAATGAAAAGTTAAAATTATATCTATAGAATTTATTATATAAGAACCCCTTTTTACGAAAACTTCGTCTTTAAGGAAATTTCTTAGTCAATTTTGGTGAATTTTATAGGGTAAGATTTGTACTAAATTGTTATTTTCAACAACTTGTCATCCAAAAATTGATGGTCAAACTGAAGTGGTGAATATAACTCTTTCTACTCTTCTTAGAGCTATCATTAAGAAAAATCTAAGAACTTGGGAGGAGTGTTTACCACATGTTGAATTTGCCTGCAATAGGGTTGTGCATGGTACAACTCAACTGTCACCGTTTAAAATAGTTTATGTTTTTAATCATTTAATTCCTTTAGATTTGTTGCCTTTACCTAACAATTCTGATTTTAAAGATAAATCTGGAAAAATTAAAGTTGAATATGTCAAGAAGTTTAATGAGAAAGTCAAGACTCAAATTGAGATGAAAGTTGAAGGATTTGCAAAATATGCAAACAAAAAAAGGAAAAAGGTAACACTCGAACCAGGTGACTGGGTGTGGGTGCATTTCAAGAAGGAGCGATTTCCTTCACAAAAGAAGTCAAAGTTTATGCCAAGAGGGGATGGTCCATTTCAAGTAATGGCCAAAATCAATGATAATGCTTACAAAATTGATTTGTCTTGTGAGTATAATATAAGTAATTCTTTTAATGTGGCTGATCTATCTCATTTTAATGTAGGTGAAAATTTACTTGATTTGGGGACAAATGTTTCTCAAAAAGGAGAGAATGATGTAAACATCAAGGCCCAAATCCATGATGAAACGGAAGCCCAAGATACAATAGAAGGCTTAGGAGGATCCTTAACAAGAGAAAGAGCTAAAAGGACCCATGAAGCCTAATTTTTTTAGTACAAAAAAATTACTGCACTTTTTCAAGTTACTTTTTCTTATTTTTATATTTGTTTTGACTAATAATTTTACATTTTAGGAATTTTGTTTTTGTAGGTACACCAATCACAAATTTCTACAAGTTTTTTTGTTAGGGAATATTTTTATTAAAAATTTCTAGTAGTTTTTAGTAATATTTTTACAACTTAGGAATTTAGTTTTTGTATTTACAATAATAAGATATTTTTTCAATTTTTTGTATTGGGGAATTTATTTAATTACAAATTTATCTACACTTATTAAAGCTCTTGTTTTGATTTTTTTTAGTAGTTTTGAGTAATATTTTTACATTTTAGAAAATTAGTTTTTGTAGTCACACCAATCAGAAATTTCTGCAATTATTTTGTTGGGAATTTCTTTAATAAAAATATTCACTACACTATTTCAAGATCATTTTTTTTTCAAATTGTTTTGACCAATATTTTTACTTTCGAATTTAGTTTTCGTAATTACATCAATAAGAAATTTTAACAAGTTTTTTTGTTGGGTAATTTTTTTAATAAAAATTTCCAATGCATTCTTTCAAGCTTTTTTTTTAATATTTCTATATGTTTTGACTAATAATTTTACATTTTTGGAATTTAGTTTTCGTAGTTACACTAGTAAAAAATTTCTACAAATTTTTTTGTTGGGAAATTTTTTAATAAAAATTTTGAATGTAGTCTCCCAAGCTCTTTTCTATTTTTCTAGAAGTCCGGAGTAATATTTTTAAAATAAAAAAAATTCACTGCACTCTTTCAAATTCATTTTTTTTCTATTTATTGAAAGCAATGAGGGGGAGATTGATGGAAATGTTTCTGCATTCCCAAGAGATGATTTTGATGATGATTCAAGTCAACTACATTCAAGTCAACACCATTCAAGATGAATTTAAGGACAAGTCTGAATTTATGACGTAAGTGACAATGTGAAACATTTCCCTACATGCCCAATATATGTTTTTGATAAAGATGATGATTCAAGCAAGCCCAAGATGATTCCTGAAGACTAGATAAAGTCTTAGAATACTGAATATGGAGGTACAAGTTGATGAAGTAATATTATGCATAAGCCTCCAAAGCACAAGTGTGATAAAATTCATAATATGATATTTTTCACAGTCATAATTAATTATGATGCACCAGAAATGGAAAAATGATTTTCTCTATCATAATTAATTATACTGGTAATATAATCAATTATGGCAATTCAAATTTGAAAAATATATCTGTTTTAAAGAATAAATGTTTTTTAATACATCATGATTTTCTCTATAATATTATTAATGTCCAACGACAATTTCGATGCTATTTTTCTATTTAATTAAGTTTTGATGAAAAATAAAAAATACACAATTACAGAATTCGAAAATACAATTTACATTCAATCAGTTTTGAGAAAAGAATTCTGAACAAGGCAACAGAGATATTTTACACATTTTGAGAAAACCCTTTTCTCTACTACCTTCTGTGCTTTCATTGTTAATCACACTTTTTCTTGGAGATTGACATTCTACAGGCTTCTACAATTTGTTGTCTCCATTATCCAAGTGTGTCTGTTCTTATTTTTATTACCTTCATCCTTTTTGCATTGGTGGAAAAGGAGGTGTTTTTCATCCCTAGTGTGATTCTAGGGAGGGGTTCATCCTTAGTGGGATTCTAAGGAGGTGTTTTTCATCCTTTGATTTGTTCAGAGGAGGTGTTCATCCCTAGTGGGATTCTAGGGAGGTGTTCATCCTTAGTGCGTTTCTAAGGAGGTGATTGTCTTTTTAATTAGTTTACTTTTTACTGGTTCTTCTGCTGAGTTGATTGTAATTTGTAAACTGAATTTGAAAGATAGTGAATGGGGAGTCACTCTTGTGTTAAGAGTTGACTGGGAACTAGATGTAGGGTTGACTATACCCGAACTAGTATAAATCATTGTGTGCTCTTCTCTTTCCCTTATCTCTTTCTCCTTTCTTGATTATATTATTGTTTCCGCTTTAACAAATTATTGACTCATAAATAAATTTTTAATTTGACATCTATTTTAATTTTTGCATCTATTCACCCCCCTCTAGATGCCATTTGTCTAACAAGTGGTATTAGAGCATGGTTAGATAAGATATTTCTAAACGATCTGTCAAGATGTCTATGCAGAATCAGGTTTACAGGGAAGAAGCCTCAATAAACAAACCACCATTATTTGAAGGAGAAGACTATCAGTTTTGGAAAGCAAGAATGGAAATATTTTTACAAACACTAGATTATGGTGTTTGGGATGCTGTACTCAATGGTCCCTACATTCCGATGAGAAAAACGGAGTCTGGAGCTGTTCCAAAAACTTTTGATCAATGGACGCCAGATGAAAACAAGTGTGCCCAATATGATGTAAGAGCCCGCAATACTATTGTTTCTGCCTTAACTCGTAATGAATTTTTCAGGGTCTCACAATGTAAGACGACAAAAGAAATATGGGACACTCTTGAAGTAACACATGAAGGAACAAATGAAGTAAAGCGAGCACGTAAGAACACACTCATCCAGGAGTATGAATTATTTCAAATGCAGCAAAATGAAAGCATCACGGATTTCCAAACACGCTTCACACATATAGTAAATCACTTGAAAACATTAGGAAATAGTTTTCACAATGAGGAGTTGAACACAAAGATCTTGAAATCCTTAGTCAGGAATTGGCAACCAAAGGTCACTGCTATTACAAAATCAAAGGATCTCACAAAAATGAATATTGCTACTCTATTTGGAAAGTTGCAAGAACATGAGATGGAGCTACAAAGGTTAAAGAATGGTGAACATAATCAAACCAAGACGATAGCTCTGAAAGCAGAAAAATCTTCACAAGACGAAAGCGAAAATGAAGGTAAGTTTTCGGACTCCGATATGTCTCTTTTTGTTAAACAATTTTCTCGCTTTATAAAGAACAGGAAAAAGAGACAACAAAGAAAGGAGAAAACAAATAAATTTCATTGCTATGAATGTGGAAAACCTGGTCATATCAAACCAGATTGTCCGAAACTTAAGAAAGAGAAGAAAGATGTGAAAGAGAAGAAGAAAGAGAAGAAAGATGTGAAAGAGAAGAAGAAAGAGAAGAATGATACCTGTAAGAGCAAACACAAAGTTTATATTGCTTGGGAGGATAATGATTCTTCCACAACACAAGAGAGTTCTTTGATCTGGTTTCTTGATAGCGGATGCTCTAGGCACATGACCGGTGACAAGAACAAGTTTGAAAGCCTCACAAAGAAGAGTCAAGGACATGTGACATATGGTGATAACAACAAGGGAAAAAATCTTGGATCAGGACAAATACAGGTAAGCAACAACTTCATGATTCAAGACATGTTACTTGTAGAAGGATTAAAACACAACCTTCTGAGCATTAGCCAGCTATGCGACAAAGGATTGAAAGTTATCTTTGAATCAACTACATGCAACATAGTGAAGGACAACACGCAAGAAACTGTTTTGAAAGGTATGCGTCTTAACAATATCTATGTAACTGATCTTGACATCACAATTCCTAGGTCTATCTCCTGTCTTGTTTCT